TCATATGTCAATTTACTTAAGTATTAATAAAAGTCTGGGGCAGGAGCTACACCCCAAATATTAAAAAAAAAAAAAAATTAAGATATTATACTGCAAATAAAAGCAAAATTTGTATTGCCTCTTTAAAATTCAATTATCTTACAAGAATTTTTATTATTCGTATAATTATTAGTGTTTTGAATTGCTTCGTAAGAACCAATATCCGATTCAGCATAGTCAATCTTTATAAATTATAAAAATAAAAAATAAAATTTATATTAGTTAAATAATAATTGGATATAAAACAAGAGCAAGCATAGTTTTGACTTACTCACTTCAATTCTTTTATCTATTCTCATATCTTTATTCACTTTGACGTTTTCATTAGCATTTAGGGTATTAAAAGCATTTATCTGTATTACATTATTCATAAATATATTTTCTGTATAATTCAAGAAGGTATCTTCTATATTCCACATAAAGTCAGTAATTGAATTCTCTATATGATATGTAAATGTATTTTCTGTATAGTTTGTAAAAGTATCCTTTATATAATTTGTAGATGTATCTCCCAATACAAACGTATCCTTATCCATACAATTAGTGAATTCGAAAGTCATTTTGTGAATGGGAAGGTTGATCCTGCTGTAATATAAGTTAATATAATTTGCTATTTTTCAAAAAAAAATTCTTATTAACTAAAAAATTTCTAATTTACTAGTTACTTACATAAACTAGAGTCCTTTACTTTTTGATTTGATTGCCTAATGCTTCCCAATTAGTTTTTTTATATGAATATATATTTTTTTAATTTTTGATTTTTTTTGATTTTATGAATTTTTTTTTATGTTTTTTTGTTTTTTTATGTTTTTTTTATATTTTTTTATTAATTACTGATATTTCCAATCTGGTCATACTAATCACACACTCTTGACCTTATTATTTTAATAGTACTATGTTTTAAATGCTTTAAACACTTGAAGGTATGTATCTTATTATTTATGCACTTCTTTTTATTTTTTTCTACGCTTCACCTTTCTAACATCAAATCTCTTCTTTATCACCGAACTTCTACCCCCACAAACGATGATATTTTTGAGTATTTGTCTTATTCAAGATAACGAAGCAGAAGTTCGATTTGTACGATCGAATTTCATATTTATTGATTTTTTTAATATATATGTCCTATTATATCATTTATCTATCATTTGACTTATTTAGACTCTAAATTACTTTTACTGGAGTCTGTTATTATTATGATCTGAAACATTTTCGCTATTACCATTTGACACAAATTAATTAATCATAGTATTTGTGTAACTGATTATAGTATCTGTGCAGTACCCATGCAACCGATAATATTGCACTTGTATATATATTTACAACACAGATCATTGTACTGTATATTGATCAACATAACCTAGCACAGATTGTAGAGGTGCCTTGGGCAATGATTAGATTCTAAGAACAAATAACATTAGGCCTAAGAATTAGCAAAAAATTAGAAACTCAAACCCAAGACAACACCCGAGTTTTAAAAGATAATACTATAATATTAATGTCTAAGAATTAGCAGAACATTAGAAACTCAAACTTTGGCAATAACTGAGTTCTAAGTGCTAATAATATTAAGGCCTAAAAATTAATAATGTTAAGGCCTAAGAATTAGCAAAAAATTAAAAACTCGAACCTGGTCAAGAACCGGGTTTTAAAAGCTAGTTTTTTTACTTATAATACACTAATCTCTGTCACTATTTGAAAAAAAGTAACGGGCCCATGAAATACTCCTGCATTAGCAGGGGTATTTCATGGGCTCGTTACTTTTTTCAATTAGTGATAAAGATTAGTGCATCATAAGTAACTCCGTTAATCGAAGTCTGCCTTAGTGGTGGTATCACATGACTTTGCCATTTCACATTCCTGCGAAATTGGCAAAATTCAAACTCTACCAAAGCAGAGTTTGAAACTCCGCCAAGTGGCAAGGTTACGTAACATTTGAGTATTCCTGTATTATTAAAAAAATATATATGCATTATTACAATTAGTGCTCTGAACAGTTATGAGCCAACCCAAAAGTTCAGGTTGGGATGACAATTTTCGGGTTAAAGCTTCAACCTGAACCCAACCTGACTAGAAATTTTAGGGCTACTATATTAAATTTTTTTAAAAAAATAATCTCAATCATATTTTTGCTCTTAAATGTTTAATAATTTATATAATAATGGTTATCGAAGTTGGCTAATCAAATCTAATCGCAGTATACTTATAAACTCAGCAGGATACTATAGTAAGAATCATGCATTGCATATTCAGAATCAATGAAAGTTTTTTTTTATTATCCTATAGATTTATGAAATTAATATAAAAAATTTACTGATTTTGCTGTTGAGAAATTATTATTCGAAGTTAAAAAGAATTTAGCTGATTAAGTTTGCAGTTAAGTTTTTCCAAACTTTGATTAATTATATCATGATAACTACTCATCTAAAATTAATGAAAACTTTTATTATTTTTATTCTATGATATAGATTAGATAGGTAATTGCTGATATTTTCATTCAAAGTTTGAAAAAAACACATAATTTCATTAGCTTTAGATATCGATAAATATACACAAATCAGATTTCTTTCAAGAATCAACCCAATTTCAATATGTGTAATATTTTAATCTATGTTAAAGTTAGATTAGAAATTGTAATTTTTTTATATTAGATCACAGAATGTGGTTTTATAATATTTCCTGTATCTCCTCACTTCCGTATTTGTCTAAATCTTCAAGTTGTTACTTACTGTTATCTTCCATAATTGTTAGTAGTATGGTAGCAAATACGTCTATGCTCTAAATCATATGATTGTGTTCTAAGAAATTGACATATATATAAGTGCTTGCTCTCGCCCTTTGGTGAAAAGGAATACCAATAAAGATTATAGAATTTCACATTCGCTATATAATAAGTACCTAATAAATCACGAATGTCCAAATACCATGGTTTACTGCCCAAATCATGAGGCCTTTCTGACGTCAACTAAACTTGGTATAACAGTACCAAGCTCTCTTCTACAATGGTTTCAATACCTATTTAGCTTTTTTAATAACTTTGGTTACTGCAACAAAGTTTTACAGCAGATTCTTGATTTTGATTGGCTAAAAGTAATGATTAAAAAATTTGGCCAGAATTCTACTAATGAAACCACAGAGTCTATTAAGTGAAATTGTTTCTAGGTCAATTTTTACAGTAATGCGGAATTATTTTCTAAAATTTCTATTTTTATAATGAAAAAATCAAAAATTAATAATGGCTGAAAATTAGTAAACAATTATAATGTTGGCCAAATTTTGCAGATCTGCAGCCATTAATCTATCAAAATCGAGTGACAATTTTGTATTAACTATTTGAAGAAATTTGATTGATATATACTTGACAGTCTTTTTGAAGTTTTATTTAAAATATCGAAGATTCAATAAGTTATACAAAATAACAATAAAAATAAAAGAAATGATTTTCGTACATCAGTTTCATACAATATTACATATATCAATTTTTTCTATTGGTCAATATTAAAGTCAAATTTCAAGTGACTGATAAATTCTGTGATTTTATTGGCCAAACCTAAATTGATATATATAAAGTTATACAAAACTAATGTACAAAAATTATTTCTCTAAAAATAATTTTAAATAAAAATAATTTTAATAAAAAAAATAGTTTAAAAGAAATAATAATTTAGAAAAAAAAAAAATTTTAAAATTAAAAAAAAGTTTAAAAAGTTAAAAAAATTTTTGAAAAAAAGCAAAAAAAGAAAAAATCAAAAATTTATAAAACCAAAAAATAGAAAACCAATAATTTAATAATAATGATAATAATTTTTAAAAACAATAATTTAATTTAAAATAAATAATTTAAAAAACCAATATATAATATAAATTTTTTAAAAAAAATGATAACTTAATAAAAAAAGAAATAAATAATATTTTAATAAAAAAACAGCCAAACACATGATAATTTAATAAAAAAATAATAATTTAATAAAAAATAAAAGGCAATATTTTTTTAAAAAAAAAGCAATAATTTAATATAAAAAAATAAACAATAGAGTTTTGTAATTTACTGCCATGACGATATATCGCTACTTCTAATTAACTAATTAAAATGCAAGATCAGATGTAATGTGAAATTGAAGCGATTATAATTTTTCTTCAAAAATCGGCTATAGTACAAAATTTTGCCTATGAAACTATCTCTCGTGCTCTAACAAAAAAATTTCTCTCAAAATTTTGGGTTAGAACCTCTTTGCTAAAGCACTTCACTCTAACACTAACCCTAACCTCACCCTAACCCTAAACTAACAAATTAATTTTATTGTTTTGATTTCATATTATATATGATCTTAAAGAGTGCGATACATCGCATATGTGATAAAATATAAAATTCTAAACAATAAAAAGAAAAGAAATATAATTTAATAAAAAAAAATAAAAAGCAATAATTTAATATATATATATAAAATAAATAATTTAATTTTTTTTAAAAAATAATAATTAATTTTAGAACCTAGATAATACCTCTAATATAATATATAGAATAAAAAAAAAATTAAAAATCTCAAACCTGGGACAATAACTGGGTTCTAAGATCTAATTTAAGTATATAAACCTAAGAATTAGAAAAAAATTAGAAACTAGAACTTGAGCAACACCGGGTCCTAAGTGCTAGTGGCTATGTAGAATCATAAAAAGGTAAGTGCTGTATTAAAATAATGAATAGAAAAAAAATTTTTGCCTAATTAGATCTTAATTTTCATAGATCTCTAGAATATAATTGAGAACAGTGCTAATTCATTTTGTAGATAATCACTTCACTAGTAACTTAATTAACTGACAAAGATAATTTAAAAACAACTAATTCACAGGCAAGCTCATTTCATACAATTTATTCACCAACAGCTTATTTCACAAAGTAATTATAATCATTATTATTAGAGATTATAAAATAAACTTGTCTGTGAATTGATTATCTGTAAAACAATCTTGTCTATAAATTAATTGTCTTTAAGTAAGTTGATCATTGGTGATCCGTTGAGTATAAAAAATATAAGTAATATAAATTTTTTTCTGATTTTGAAATCAAAGTAGTTAAATAGAATTGTAAAAAAAAAGGAAAAAAAAAGCAATAATTTATCTGAATTGATTTTTTATTATGTAGATTTCCGGATTTAAATGGTGAACTAGAATAAGATAAAGGGTTGGTTGAAAAAAAAAAACATGAAGCAAAAAAAAATTAAAAATTTCTTATTATTTATAGAGCCAAAATGGTGAACTAAAAAAAAAAAACTTATCTATAGTATGTTATCTGAAATAAAGTGCAGGTGCATATCTGAATTGTGCTTATATGGTATTGAAATTTATTTCTATTTTAATGATTATCATACCTTACTTTTTATTTTTTTTTTGTTGAAAACCAGATCCATTGTCTCAACCATACATGAGTGCTACCAAGGGGAAACGAGGCTTTGAGCTATAAAGTTTATTATTTATTATTAGGATTCTGCTCATGAAAAACTGACTAGTGTAATTTAAAAGATTGAATCTGATAAATAGTAAATAATATAATTAAAAATTC